TTCAAAATGAGCCTCATCCAAACCTCATCTCTTTTATTTCTATGATTTTTTATTTATATATTATTTATTTTTTAAGAGTAAAACCGGAAACAGCCTCTGTCTTCCTCACTCATATTGCTTTTCGATTGCTTTTGCCTTGGCATCTTGGATCTTTGTTGTGAAATTTTTCATTGAGAATTTTGACTGTCTGAGGAATTGAAAATATTGCTGAATATTTAAAAGGTGAAATTTGTATTCTGAAGTTGCAAAATATTGAAAAATCCTACTTAAAATTTCAGCAACTAAAATAAGAAACGTGAAAAAGAGTTTAAAAATTCAAAGCGAGAAATTCAGTTTGTAATCCTGTGCTTTCTAAAAGTTTTTTACCCACTAATTTAGTTCTTGTTTAGTTTAGTCCTGACTTATTCAATTCTAGTTTTATCTTTCTCATTTCTTTTAGTCCAGTGGTTCAAGGTTTCTCGTTATCGTATCTCGTTTCATCTTGTGAAAACTGTGTCTCAGATTGTCTCGTTCTCTGTGATCCAATCTCGTGTCTCCTCTTGTGGAAATTGTGTGTCGTCTTGTCTCGTTCTTGTCGATCCAATCTCTTATTTAATCTTGTTTTGTGGAAATTGTGTCTCATCTTGTCTCGTTCTCCTAGATCTCGTATCTTGTCTTGTTCTTGTAGATTCATTCTCGTGTCTCATCTTGTGGAAATTGTGTCTCATCTTGTCTCGTTCTAGTGGATCCAATCTCGTGTCGTGTCTTATCTTGTGGAAATTGTTTTTTGTTTTGTCTCGTTCTCGTAGATCCAGTCTCGTATCTCGTTTCATCTTGTGGAAATTGTGTCTCAGATTGTCTCGTTCTCTGTGATCCAATCTCGTGTCTCGTTTTGTGGAAATTTTATCTCATCTCGTCTCGTTCTCATAAATCCAGTCTTGTATCTCGTCTTATCTTGTGGAAATTGTTTTTCGTTTTGTTTCATTCTAGTGGATGCAATCTTGTGTCTCATCTTGTCTCATTCTCGTGGATCCAGTATCGTATCTCGTCTCGTCTTGTGGAAACTGTGTCTACTCTTGTCTCGTTCTTGTAGATTCATTCTTGTGTCTCATCTTGGGGAAATTGTATCTTATCTTGTCTCATTCTCATGGATCCAGTCTCGTATCTTGTCTCGTCTTGTGGAAACTGTGTCTCGTCTTGTCTCATTCTCGTAAATCCAGTCTTGTATCTCGTCTTATCTTGTGGAAATTGTTTTTCGTTTTGTTTCATTCTCGTGGATGCAATCTCGTGTCTCATCAATCTTGTATCTCGTCTCGTCTTGTGAAAACCGTGCCTCGACTTGTCTCATTCTCGTGGATCCAGTATCGCTTCTCGTCTTGTCTCATTCTTCTAGATCCAATCTCTTATCTCGTCTTGTCTTCTGGAAATTGTGTCTTGTCTTGTCTAGTTCTCGTGGATCCAATCTCATGTCTCGTCTTGTCTCGTTCTCCTAGACTCAATCTCGTATCTCCTTTCAACTTGTGAAAATTGTGTCTCATCTTGTCTCGTTCTCGTAAATCCAGTCTCGTATCTCATCTTTTCTTGTGGAAATTGTTTTTCGTTTTGTCTCGTTTTCGTGGACCCAATCTCGTATCTCGTCTTGTCTTGTCTCATTCTTCTAAATACAATCTCTTATCTAAACTAATCCAATCTTGTTTTGAGGAAATTGTGTCTCATCTTGTGTCGTTCTTGTCGATCCAGTCTCGTATCTCGTCTTGTGGAAATAATGTCTAGTCCCATCCCCATCATTTAATGTATAGTTTGCTTTAACCGTAGGCAGTTTTGAAAGTTGTGACATCATGTGAAGACAACCTATAGCTCCTTTTATTCTGTCTCTCTCTGTCTGAGTCACACATGGTACAGAATATATACCGTACATACGAAGGAGGCTGGGTGTGCTCCTCTAATTCTGCAGGTCTCATTCAAACTCCGACTCGTTTAAAGAGGTCCACAGAGGCTAATCCTCCTGGACTCTGCATTCTCATCTCATCATTTCACATTTTTACACATTTTATGACCGTCTGCCCTTTTCTGTGGAGCTCATTTATATCATGTGTCTCTCAAAAGCAGAAGAAATCTCCTCTGGAACTACAGGCTCGTCAAAAGTATCGAAAACCTGGACACAGATATAAGACCACGTGGAAATCAAAAAGAAAGAACTACCATTTTATATTGAAAATCACATTCTATTGAGTATAAGAGTATTTTTATTATCATCATGGTATCGGAATCGGTATTGACTCCATTCATTAGTATCGAAATTCTTTTAACTCATGCGTACGGTTTAGTTCTTCTGTGGTGGTCCGTTCTCTGATTGGTCAAACCACCTGTCAGTCATGCTCCTTGGAAGTTGAGATGATACAGTAGAGTTCCAGAGCAGACCCACATGTAAAGGTTTGGATTCTGCTCATTTCAAAGTCCTTGTTTAGTCCTAGTTCAGACCTGGTTTAGTCCTGGTTTAGTCCTTGGTTTAGTCCTGGTTCAGTCCTTGTTTAGTCCTGGTTTAGTCCTTGTTTAGTCCTGGTTCAGTCCTTGGTTTAGTCCTGGTTTAATCCTTGTTTAGTCCTTAGTTCAGTCCCGGTTCAGTCCTGGTTTAGTCCTTGGTTTAGTCGTGGTTCAATCTTGGTTTAGTCCTTGTTTAGTCTTGGTTGAATCCTAGTTAAATCCTGGTTCTGTCCTTGTTTAGTCCTTGGTTCAGTCCTGGTTCAGTCCTGGTTTAGTCCTTGGTTTAGTCGTGTTTCAATCTTGGTTTAGTCCTGGTTTAGTCCTTGGTTTAGTCCTAGTTCAATCTTGGTTCAGTCCTTGTTTAGTCCCAATTCAGACCTGGTTTAGTCCTGGTTTAGTCTTGGTTCACTCCTGGTTCATTCCTGGTTGAATCCTAGTTTAGTCCTGATTAAATCCTGGTTCAGTCCTTGTTTAGTCTTGGTTTAGTCCTGGTTCAGTTCTGATTTAGTCCTGGTTCAGTCCTGGTTCTATCCTGGTTTAGTCTTGGTTCACTCCTGGTTTAGTCCTGGTTAAATCCTGTTTCAATCCTGGTTGATTTAGCCTTGGTTAGTCCTGGTCTAGTTTAGGCCCAGTTTAGGCCTGGTCCTAGTCTAGCTCTGTTAGCCCTGGTTCAGTTCTGCTTTAGTCCTGGTTCGGTTTAGTGAAGATTGTTGATGCAAAATGAAAATGAAAACTTTTAATTCCCAAAAAAGAATCGGTTTGTTTTTGAACAGCAGTAAGTTTTAAATCTCCGGTGATTGAGATGAACTTGTTACTTCTACAGATCCATAGAAACAAGCCGGTAACGGACCCCGAACTGAAAAAGTGACACAATGCCCCTTTAAGTTGTTTCGTGCTCTCACAAACGACAAAGTATTCACACGCAGAACTGTTTAGACACTTGCACAGCTTTAGGGTAACGTGATGGAGATAGAGAAGAGAGTGTTCAGCCAATGGAGTTTCAAATCCAAGCGTTCTAGAGAAACACACGGTCTCTTCTCAGTTCAACTTTTATAATGAGGTGATTCGAAGTCAAGGTGCTGTGTGACGCAGAATACACACTTCTCCAAGACTTTACAAAGATGTGAGTCTGGTCACTGGTGAATCTTTTCCTTGTACATATACATTTATATAATTATGCAAGTGTCTTGTTATATTTGCTACTTATTTAGAATAGATTAATAATTGATTAATTGATTGATAATTCAGATTTACAGATCACTACATTCAGGTGAAAAAAAAAAGTGTTCAATAAAACGTGAATTTTGTCATAAATAATACTCAGATGATCAGACTGGCAAAGTATTTCTGGATTCATTATAATCATACAAGTTTTTGTAATGCTGAATTTCACGTAAATGGACTGGATGATTGGACTGAAATGTGGAAATGATTGCTCTATTAGTCCGGGAGTACAAATGGAACAGGCTCTGGAGGCTCAAATGCTGTAAAACCCCGAGTTTGAATAACCATGAATGCTGCTACAAATGTAAAGTGTTCAGAGGTGTTTTTGTGTGTCAATATGCATGAAAAATGTGAATAATAAAGACTGAGTGAATCATCTGTTATATAGGCTGATAATTAGCAACAGAAATAAATGCACAGGCTGAAACATTTCCGGATGATAGGGTCATTTTATTCCCAGTCCCCTTCTTTGAGACATTCTGCTGCATTTGTCCTGATTTGAATTCATTTGATCTGATAATGGTGTGATCTGCAACAATGTGGCTCAAAGAGCAAAATATTTACATCTTTTTATTGTGTAATGACTTTTACTTTATTAAAATGCATTTTAATACTTAAATGAAAGTTGCAGTGCATTTTGGGCAATTTGCAGCACTCTGAGGTGACCAAGGGTCCACTTGTGCATTGTTGGTAAAAGAGCCAAACGGAGGAGAGGAGCTCGGAGGAGAGGAGCTCGGAGGACATGAGGCTTTGGGGGAATTGGAACAGGACTTGGTGGAGTGCTAACTGATGACATGGATCTGTCTGAAGTGGTTGAGAAGCCAAGAATTCTGAGAATTGAGAAGCACGCATGATCCGTCTATATCAAAACAAATCTGGCTGCTTTTGAGGGGGAAAAAAAAGGAAAAAAAATATGACGGGACTGAAAAACATGTCAGTTTTGTGCAGAGTCAATGAGTGAAGCATTAAACTCTGTTTATGAGGTGAGAAAAAAAACATGCCGTTATATTTCAGCAACTTTAAATATTTAATAACTGAATTTGAACTGTAAACGCAGGAACCAATGTGATTTTGTTTGTAAATGATGGTGACCAGTGAGCTCCTTTGTTTCACGTCAATGAAATAAACAAATCTGATTGGATGATCATGTTTGTCCAAGCTTCAGACAAAACATTAGGGCACAGTGACCAGACTGACATGAATCTGTTTATATATATATATAGTTTAAAAAAAGTGAGATGTGTGACTCCCCCTCTGGTTCAAATTGGGTACTACAAGCCTTTTGAACAGGATAAAAGGACATACACCTGATGTGAACTCTTTGGAAAAATGGTTTTTAATAAGATTATTATTACACACAATGGAAATGATGTTTTTCTTATTGGTGAAATGATGAAAACAAAAATCTATATCTGTGGCTGAAGTGACAATTCAGATGATTGGTTTTCAAAATGACATTCAAATGGACCACACTTTCATCGAGACTTTAAACATTTGAAAGAAATACAAAACTTTTACAGATTTTTGTTAAAACTTGGGACCAAAATGTCACTTCTTTTCCTGCCTCCGTGTTACAGTAATTGCAATGAAGCTCTGAATCCACAGAAATGAATGAGTGTTTATCTATAATACAACAAGTTTCATTTTGATCAAAGCAAAGCAGCGAGTTTTTAAGGTTAGTTTAAATTAAAAAATGTAAATATATAAAAGTAATAAAAATCCTATTGACACAAACAAGAGATTTGACAGAATTGCTGAATTATAATGTAGGAATGCAATTAGATAAAGGGCTACTTCACTTCATTACATTTAAAAGACTGGAGGAACAAACAGGAGCAAAAATAAAATAAAATAAAATTCAAAATAAAATCATAAAATATTGGACAATCCCTTTAAATTGTGTCAAAATCAGAGTTTTACAGTTAGGTGCAACCAAAACATTCAGAAGAGAGAACAGGGCTGGGTGATAATTTGAGATATTTGGCATTTTGTATTGGCCGTATTAAACAGTAAAACAAAACGGAAAATTTTAAAACTCCTTTTTCAATAAATAAAATTACAATAAAAACGCTTTATAATTAGAAGCAGACAGCACAGTGGTCTCATTTTGACTCCGCGGTCTGCTTTTACAATACATCTGTGCTGGGCCAAGACTAATTTTACTTTACAAAACATCTTTAACTGGAAATTGAGATACATTTTTAGTATCACCCAGCCTTATTTCCTTGCATGGAATTTGAACTACAGTTAAAAACCTTAAAACTGAAACCTTACGTTAATTAAAACTACAAATCTACTCTTAAGGGATTACAATATTGCACTGTTTTACACCAAATAAGGCAAAAATTAAAGTGCAGAAAAATAAAATGCAAAAGCGTGTTTTCAAACTAAAATAAAACCCCTAATACTCTAATAATGTGAGAATGACAACATAAGGTGAGGTAGATGGTTCAACGATAGTACTTTGTGATTTAAAGATGCACTGTGTAACTTTCCTGCAAAATACGCATACTTATCTATCTCCATGGCGACGAGCAGCAACCAACAAGTGTTTTATTGTTGTCATAAAAACACCTAATTGAATAAAAGCAAGATAGATGAGTTTATTGTCATACTGCGGAATACCATCTCTACAGAAACGAGCAGATGGAGATGGAAAAAGTTACACGGTGCTTCTTTAACAATATAATACGAACGCTTGAATCACGTATTTGAGTTTGGTAGATTTTCAAGGTGAGCCAATGGTATTTTCAGTCATTCTTGTTTCCATGGAGGTTTGATTGAAGTTTATTCATAAAGACTTCTATAGACATGACGGAGACACGTTTGGACAAAAGCTGGTGACGTTCTACCGTTTCCACCAAGAGGTATGAGCTGTTTAATATGACCGGAACTAAGTGCACCAGAGCAGTTCAGCGCTCTCGATTTAAGATTTTTGAGGAGATTTAGTTCTCGTGGTGGTCCGCTACCTGCTTGTCTCCATGGAGATATTAATGCTTTCCCTTGATTATTCCACAATATGCAAATAAACCTCACAATGAAGACAGGTTAATGGTCAGATCTACGGAGAAGTGAATCTGCACGTGGTAAGAATTCATGTTTTTTTATATATTTTTGGTATTTTTGAGCTTTAAAAGAGCTGTAATTAAACAAATGCAAGAGAGATATGTTTAATGCCCTACTGTGGAACATCCAGGCAAAGAAATAACATCTATATGGAGACAAGCAAGTAGTGAACCCTCCCCCCAACTTAGAAGTTACATAGTGCTCCTTTAAGTTTACCTGATATTAACCGAGATCTTTGTAGGGACAGAAAACGGCACTTCTTAAAACTTCCTTAAAACAAAATTAAGTCATGACACAAGAGTTACGATTGTGTTATCGTTATTTATCCTTCAAAACAACCGGACAGCTCTGTATCTATAAGTTCAAACACTATGAGAAGTTCTATACCGATGCTCGAGCCAGCCAAATTTTCAGCATTCAGTTCGTTATCAGGAATTACCGTAAATTCCGGACTATAAGCCGCTACTTTTTTCCTCACACTTTGGACCCTGCGGCGAATAAACCGATACGGCGAATATATGGACGGATGCTTTGTTTGGTATTACAGCGGATACACGCAGCCTGAGTGCAGAAAACGCCGCTGTCTGTGCCGTTACACATGGATCTAGAGTTAACATGAAGTTTCTACACGAGCTCGCGATATTGTCAGCACTCAAATAGTTTATCGCCGTGTGATCGAATAAGTTCTCATGCTAAATGAACATTAGTGAGGGAGATACGTCTTACCAGTGTGTGTAAATGACGAGAAGAAACGCCTCACACTTCAGTAGCTAAACATCCACTCATACTTGATTGATAGAACTAAACCCCGCCCCCGAGAGAGTCTGAAATCTGCTGAAATGATACAGACAGGACAGAGCCTCTTTCTGCAGGAGACATGAGCAGTAGAGTGGGGAGAGACAGGAGTGATGCGCTTGTTTGTGTTTTGAACAGTTATTTTGAGCTTCATCCACACACCCTCCTCATGGAAAACACTCCAAGAAATGCAGTTAAAGGCGATTGATGTGACTGTCGAGGAAGGAAATTGAGCTGCTGCTCGTGAGCTCGACATCAGTGATCGATGGTGAGATTTCGGCGGCGGCAACGTGACGAACTGACTCAATGCAAAAAGACGACAAAAGCTTCAGAGGTGATGAAAGCAGATGGCCTCAACTTGAAAACTTTTTTGAAGACGTGGACACCTGCGGCTTGTATTCGTGTGCGCTCAATAGTCTGGAGTTTACGATATATATCCAATGTATTATCATAAGTAAAGTAGCAGTAGTACTAGTAATAGTAGTAATAGTAATAGTAGTACAGCAGTAATGTAATGATAAAATAAAACATGACTGGGGTCTGTACCTCTTGGTGGAAATCACAGGATGAAAAAGCATGTAGCACACGCCCAAAGACACATTATATAAATATTACAGAGGACGATCTCAAAATGTCCGACAATCCGCCCTACTCAAACCTCTTCACTATTGGACCATGAAGGAGGGCGTGGCGTCTATATGCTTGCTGGTGTTCCTGGCGATGATCTGTTCGATGGCGATGTACGTTCCCGCCAAGAACCCGATGAACCCCACGGCGCTGATGACGAGGTTCTTGATGGTGACGAGCGGAGAGAGGCCTTCGCCATGGAAAACGGCGAGCTGGAGGAGAGGGGGGAAGATCAGGGCGAGGAAACTGCTGCTGACGGAGCCCACCAGAGAGATGACCAAGTCCAGCTCCGGGATCAGCACGGCCAACGCACCTGAAGAAGAAGAAGAAGAGAGGAGGAAGAGGAGCGTTAGGACGACTGCGGGGTGGGTAGTTGTGGAAGCCCAAAGGTTCAAACCCCAATTCTGTCCTTGAGCAAGGCACTTCACCCATATCTTACCTATGGGCCTGGTCAAGCAGAAGTAAACAGCAAGGCCAAAAATTCAAGTTAATGCATCTGATATAAAAATGTATTGAACAGATACATATGTACTCTAGTTTATGAAACTGTTGACCTTTTTTCTGTACCATTTTTGGTTCTAAAGTTCCATACGTTTTAAACAGACCATGTATGAAACATGGAACAAAAATTATTTCCCAAATTTCAAAGACCTGCAAATCATGTAAATAAATGGATGTATTTCATCATATCTTGTGTTATTCCATCTTTGAACTGTTGATGAAGGTACATGATTAAAAAAATAATAATAATGTATTTAAAATGATAAAAATTTGCTTGGAAGGACTGACATATTTTATAGAAACAGTTTCCTATAGTAATATTAAAGTATTCGGAAGAAAAAAGCTGACAAATTATGCAAAATCATGCACCTTCTACTTGTTTGCACAATTTTCCTCTGTTACTTTTCCCTCCGTTACCATGACCTTTCTTAATAAAAAATCTCATTAGAGGTTTTTCAACCTAATCTTGTACCATATGGTAGAAAACTATATGAAGCAAATATTCAAACCAGTTTGTTAAGGATATGTAAGTGAGAACCGCTAGTTATCATTGTATTTATTACCCAAAAAGTGCTGCATATTTCATTCCCTCCGTTACAGACATGAGTTTTTAAATTTTTTGTCAACAACAACAATATCACAGGTTTAACTTGACCCTGTTGGAGTGTTAACTCTTTCCTACATTCTGATACTTTACTTATTTCAATAGTCCCTCTAGTTTCTGAATAAGAGCTATTTGAATGTCAAAAATCTGCCCCTGTTTCCCTCCATTACCGCTTGACCGGACCCCTTTGCATGACTGAGTAAGACTGGTGCGGTTTATGAAAATAACTGTACTGTTTGGAGGCTGATTTGGGGCCTTTCAAAATAAAACTCAAATAATATGTTTGGCTCTAAACATTTCACACCAAATACCACCTAAAACCCTATTCACACGGGATTAGTATGACCTGCAGACCTTCAGTGATTTGTAATAACTGCAGAGGATGCCCGAGATCTTAATCCCGTGCGTAATTTGTAAAGTAAAAATTCCGCTGCAAATTACCTACTGTATTTCGCCAAACACAGACGCCCGGTGATACTAGTCCCGTGTGAATCTGCATCTCAGTGTTTGTTGTTGTAAATGCAAGCTTTTTCTGTTTCTTTTTCTTTCTGTGTTCTTTTCTCTTTAAATTTTCAATCTCAGTCAGTGTCAGTAAAATAGAGCAATTTATGGACTTCACTTATCCTGTGCAAGTAACACGGGTGGGGTGGTAATTTGCAAATTACCACACGTCCCCATGTTGTACTTATCCCGTGTGAATAGGGCTTAAGATAATGGTTCACCTCGCAAGTACCACCAGGCCTAAAACCGGACTGTATCAGGTCCAAATTAGGCCTAATCCAGATGTAAAATTAGAATAAATCATGGATAAGATAAGAGGACAAAAACATACATAGATTTTAGAGAGTTTTTTTTTTCATGGCTGCTACCGTTATAATCCAGAAAGAACAATGACCAATAAGATCTCCTGATTTTTTTGGGTCTGATATGTAGGGCAGATTTATTTATTTATTTGTATACATTTATTTATTTTGGCCCAATTAGGTCTTTTTAATTCAGGACAAACTCTCCTACAGCCCCTCTTTGCCACAAGTCTTTAAGAGGGCTACGTGGTCACATTTTAAGCAGTTATCGATTTGCACTAAAGTGCTTTGTATGTTCTCTTTAGGCGGCAGGTCAAACAAAACAAAATATCGGCTTGTGCTGGAGATTTAAGGCCTATAGTGGATTTGCTATAAAGTGCAAATACCTGCCTGATATATTGGCCTGTCTTTAACAGATTTGTCTCTAAATAAAACAAATACCTCGAATTAAAGAGAGCCCTGTGTAAGAAAGTAAATATTTTTTCTTTAAGATAAATGCACAATACATCATGATGAATTCAATATGTCATGGTTAATTCAATCCCTGTGTATAGTTCTAGGAGTAGATTATCATTTTGTTTTACTCTAAAGTTGAAATGGTCCAAGGTATACAGACGCTTAATGTAGAGACAGTCTCAGCTGGTGGCTCATTATATAACACTGAAATGCTTGTATATTTTAAGATGATGTTAATCACGTATTCGTCCAGGAATGGTTCAATGTGGAGAGATGTTTCAGCTGTGGTCATCGGTTTTTGCGATCAAGCTCCAGAAGCCACATAAACATTTGATGGGACTGGGTTGAAGCACAGGCTTTATTCTAACCTGGCTTCAACTCAGTGCCATCAAACTGAAAACGGCAAATATCCAGACGACCACAGCTGAAACGTACCTACATTGAACCACTACTGGACGAATGAGGGATTACGCCATCTCAAAACGTGGAAAATCCCTCAGTCGTCAGAAATGAAATTTGTCAACTGGACAAAGTTTATTTTGGATGAATACGTTTCTCAAATCATCAAGCTGCTTCTTCAGTTCTGGTCAGACACTGTTGTACAATTCCTTATATCTGTCTGAAGAGAGGAGCTGACTACACTGAAACTACTCTGAAACTACCACATGTACTGTTCACAGTTTCTGTTTGTTACCTCGATCTATTAAACTGCACTGAGTGTGGGGTCATATTAGCATAATCATTCAGGCCCCTGATGGGTGCTTTAACACCCATGGGCCTGACCTGGCTATCACTATTGTTTTCTTTGTTTTGATTTAGGTCTGAGAATGGGCTGAGGATGGAATTGTAAATGGGAGAGAGATGATTGTTAGGATTGACTGTTAGGAAAATGGAGACCTCGGACATCATCTGTCATTATGGACCTGAATGATTATGCTAATATGACCCCACAGTCAGTGCAGTTCAATAGGCCGAGCTAACAAACAGAAACTGTAAACAAGTAGGTGTGTTAGTTTCAGTGTAGTTAGCTCCCCCTTCAGGCAGATATAAGGAAGAGCTGAAGACGTTTTGAACCAAAATAAACGTGTTGACAAACTGAATTTCTCCTTTGTCATGGATTCTACCTGGACAACTGAGGGATTTTACACATGTTTTGAGACGGTGTAATCCCTCATTCATCCAGCAGTGGTTCGACGTAGAGACATTTCAGCTGTAGTCATCTGGAATGACAAACTGAATTTCTCCTTTGCCTCAAAACATTTCAACGATATAATAATAATAATAATAATAATGATAATATGATAATAATAATAATAATAATAATAATAGTAGCATGTAATATTTATAAAGTGGAAGCTCCACACCATGATTGAACCTCAGCTGTGACAGTGGCTTGAGGGGAGCTGTGGACCAGGTCAGAGACAAGAGCGCCCCCTGCAGTGTGAAACCAGCGTCACATGTATCACTCTTGTTCTAATCTTCAGTGGGAGAAATCCACCCGCTGCTCTGCACCAATGGGAGATGATCACTTTCACCTGCGCCTTTAGAGACCAGAGAACAAACAACCGCTGGCATCTGAACCAAAACAAAAAGACCCCATGAAATCCAGTTGAGACTAGACCAAGATTGTGAAGAGGGGAGCAGAGGGAGCCAATGACACAAGCTGAGAGTAAGAGAGGAGAGTGTATGTGGTACAAAAGAGTTTGAGTCATCCATTGTCAGCACAGTGTGTGAAGATGGAAAACAAAAACAGACATTTAGACTGAAGATCTGTAACCTGAGGCTCCAAAGAGGAAGACTTAAGTCATTATGAAGAACCTTTCGTAAGAAGCAAGATTTGAAAACTGTTTTATTAGGAAATGACTAAAAATTGTATTTGTTTTAGTTGAAAAAGAACATTTGCTATGTAATATTTACTGCAAAATAGATCACCCTTTTCATATCCGTTTCAGTGATGCCATTTATATTGCATTTTTAGATAACTCTTTTCCACCTTCAAGACACTCAAAGTGCTTTACAACAAGGAACCACTCACCCACTCACACACACATTTATACACCAGTGTACACAGACACTGACGGTGTCTTGCCCAAGGACACATCATTCATCTGTGGGAGCTGGAATCACACTGCCAACCTGTAGGTCAGACTGCTCACCAGTGATTATGTCTAGTGTCAGGAGCGTTCACGGTCCTGTTTAGGAGTTTGATTTTCAACAAAAAGGTAAGAGTGACTAACTGAAAAACTGTTGGCTGATGCTAGATTGTGACTGTAATTTTATTTGAGAGTTTTGTTTAATAACAGCACAAATCAGCTCATCTGCTGTAGTTCCAGACAAGTTTTTTTGGTCAGTGTTAAAACAAAAATCAGACTTAAGGCCGCCACACACTACAGTATTTTTTGGTCTTAAACGATTGTTAAACATAAACAAAAAGCGCACAACACAGACACGAGGAGAATCTCATGAGACTTAAAATCTCCAAAAAATCTGCAAAGACTGCAGCGGGATCTGTATGCAAACCACAGAATATAAAGTTGTGAGCACGACTGCATCAGCTGTTTCCTGTCTACAGTAAAACCACTCGCTTCCAATTTAGATACAAGTCAAAACTGTGTTATTGTTATTTGTGAAATGTGGTGCAATACTTCAGATAAAAGAAAACAGACACATGTGAGGAGCTACTCTTGCCTTTTTACTTTTTCAGCACCGCTGTTTTGTGGATTGGGGTCATTATTTGCGAAGGACCCTTTCTATGGATAATGTGGATGGTTAGGTTAGGTTAGGTTGCATTATTCGTACCCGTAGGTAAATTTGCTTTGCAGATTTGAGAGACAGGTTCCACATTTCACATTTCATTCATCCATAAAACACGTATAAAAATACAATTACAAAATAAAGTGTTACAGTGCTCCAGTGCAGAATGGTTTGTTCCATAAACACTTAGTTAAA